GTCTGCAGTTCGCTGTGAGGTCAGCTGGGGTCTTCTTAGTATAAAATGGCCTCAACTGAGGCTACTCATCTTGGTTCCCTGTGTTTTGTCATCATCCAGCAGGAGAGCCTGGGCTTGTTCTCATGGTGACTGCTCAGAGTTTCAGGAAATCAAACAGAGGCAGGCAAAGTCTTTGAGGCCTCAAATTTCAACCAGTACACTTTCATTTCTGCTATTCTGTGGACGAAAAGAAGCTATAGGGCCAGCCAAGAGTTAGGAGAAGGGAAAATGGAGTCAGTTCTTGATGTGAAAAGGTGCAAAGTAACATATTAAGGGACACAGATAGAAAGAACACAGAAGGATTTAAGGCTCTTTTTGCAATATAGCATACTCTGCTGTATCTCACTATCAGTAAATTTTGTTACAGTTACTGATTTCTCAAGAAACACATCAAAGTAATTATTATTCCTTCTAGAAAGGATAGCTGTGGCCTCATAAAAACTTTTCTGCTTCCTTGGGGATTTACTCAGACTTTCTGACTATACAGCTCACCCCTGTACAAGTTAGTATCCTACTTCTGATACTCGTAGTCTGCTTGTTTCAGTAGGCAGATCGCAATCTGACTCTTGCCTACTTGCCTGTCTTCGGCTCTGCACAACTCTACCTGGTTGGATCTAGACCCATGGAGTTGGTTCTGGATTGTTGTGTGATGCTTCATGCACTTTGGAGTCATCATTACCACCAGTCAGCCTATTGTTGGGAGGGATGCCCACCTACCTAACCTCTGCAAGTCCTGTCTCAGTGGGAACATGGTCTAAAGACCTTTCTCATCATGTACTTCCTTCTGATTAGCTCAGTGATTAGGCTTTTCTCATGAATTACAAGTTATCTAAACAAATAAAATGTGCAAAATACATAATTTATTTTTTTAATTTTTATAATCTAAAAGGGAAAACAATTTTAACTTTGATGATTGAAGTTCTTGTGCTTGGTCAGGAATTACAAGAATTACGTCAGGGTCGCCTGAGCAGCTCAGTCACTTAAGCGTCTGACTTCGGCTCAGGTCATGATCCCACAGTTCGTGGGTTTGAGGCCCGTGTCAGGCTCTGTGCTGACAGCTCAGAGCCTGGAGCCTGCTTCGGATTCTGTCTTTCTTTATCTCTCTCTCTGCCCCTCCCCCACTTGTGCCCTGTCTGTCTCCGTCTCTCAAAAATAAATCAACGTTAAAAAAAATAATTACATCAGAAATTTCTTCGTTGAACAGTTTTGCTTAAGGATGTATGGTAGGATTGAATCAAGACAAGGTGACAGGGCTTCACAAAAGTAGAAATTGCCATTGTTATGTATTTTGTATAACAGAAATAAATGGTTAATCAATTAACAATTAATTTTTCGATAATTAATCGACCTAACTGGTGGTAAATTTTCTCAATACTCCACAAAAGAGACAGTCATGTTGATTTTTTATAGTGGCACAAGTTTTTGCAAGAATGGATATCTGCTCTGCCAGCTGCACAATGATTCCAGTGGTGCAACCATTTATATGTAACCACATTGTGAGAGTTGTGTGGGGAAGCACCATGAGCTGAGTGATTCACCCCACGTTTTAGCTCTATAAGTGGTCGGATTGGTTTGGCTCTCCTGATACGGAGCATTTCTATTGGGCAGAGTTTATGAACACTATCTCAAAAGGGACCTATATTCATATATGCTTATTTATCCATGTAATTGCTTAGGCATTTACAAAATAGTTATAGCAGTTGTTCATATATAACTTTGATAATAGTCTCTAGTCTAATCTTCAGTGGTTAGGGTAGCATCTAATTCCACACCACATGCATACTCTGTAGAGATGGTACTTAAAAGTAGGAGATGTTTTCTTTAGAAACTAGCTATGCAGAGAAGAGGAATAGAATCCCTGCCCACTTCAGTGTTGTTAGCCCCATGAGTTTCAGTTATCAAGAGGAAAGAGTATATTGGATAGAAGTGTTCAAGTTAGATAGTATAAGCTGAGGACTCTATTTTTCCTCAGAAGTAAAATTTTTTGACTGAGAACATTTACATGAGACATATTAGTTGCAGGCAGTCAATATATGTTGAATGATTGATTAATAACCCCCTCCAAGATTGTATGATAATTGACCTTATTTTAATGATTGTGCGAACTGTGCTTTTTTTCTACAGTGATGAAAATGACGAGGATGAAAGAAGGTTATATCTGTCTGACATGTCCATGTTACCTGCTTGTTAGCAGTTAGGCCATGTCTGAGCCCTCTGACAACTATTCTGTGTTATAAAATTCATATAAAAATGGTCTGAGCCAGGGGCACCTGGGTGGCTCAGTTGGTTGAGTGGCCAACTCTTGATTTTGGCTCAGGCCATGATCTCACAGTTTGTGAGTTGTCCTGCATTGGGCTCCATGCTAACAGTGTGGAAACTGCTTGGGATTCTCTCTCTCTCTCTCTCTCTCTCTCTCTCTCTCTCTCTCTCTCTCTCCCCCCCTCTCTCTCTCTCTCTCTCTCTCTCTCAAATTAATAAACTTTAAAAAAATTTTAAAATAAAGAGTTTCTTAAAAAAATAAAATGGTCTGAGCCCTCACATCATGTATATGCAAATCTTTAAATCTTTACAGTATCTCCCATGATTTTTGAGCGGTAATGTTGTGAAAGGTGGTAGGAAGAACATTTTTAATAGTGTTTATAAAAAGTAGAAAAGAGAGTTGACTTGGAAGGCCAAAGGGTTTTCATGCAGGTGTGAAAGTCCCTGTAGAGTTTATACACACGTGGGTTCATCAGTTATCTGCTGCCTTCACTTCTGTCAGGCTGCTGAAGAAATATACAACCTCATAAATTCATTCACCTTTAAAACTCATGGCCTATAACTTCAACTGTGATTATTCCAAGTGTATATAATCTCTATAGGGAATTTAGCAAACAAATAGTGATTTTAAAATAATGGTTGCATGGGCAGCTGGCTTGCTCAGTCAGTAGAGTGTGCAACTCTTGATCTTAGGGTCATGAGTTCAAGCCCCAGTTTGGCATTGAGTCTACTTAAATAATATAAAATAATGGTTGCAAATTATGGTTTTGATGTTCCTTGGATTTCAGTAGTTCTTTGTGAAGAAATCTCAAGGATTGCTAACTCATTGTCATTTTAACAGAAGAGTTCAGGTAACTTTGGAAGCAAACTCTTTGCTTCAAGAAAAAAACACAAAAGTTGAAGCCTAAGGATCTGTTCTTAAGCCCAGAAAAGTTTTGTAAATTAATGTGAGGCTTTAGTTACTTTACTACATTGACTTTAAGTTCTTCTGTCATTAGTAAGTTTGCTTTTTGCCTTCTTGTATTGTTATGGGTCATTCTATTACAGGGAAGATATGGAATGTACTTGAGAATGTTCAAAGAAAGTTTATTGTTGAAGGTACAGAATACCAAGGCCACATGTCCATTAGAATGGAGAATAAAATCATAGTGTACTTCTTAGGAACTATTTAAAACTCCATTCTGTATTGTGAATAAGTACTTATTCTCTGATTTTTTTTCTTAAAGCATAAAATGATTTTGAGAGGATTCTGAATTTAAGTTAAAAATTTATAAATTAAAAGCATGAGAATCCTTTGTAGTTCACACACACACATACATGCATGGTATAGGTGATAAAGAGTATTCCTCCTCCATTACATTAAGTAGCTTTGCTAAGAATTTTATCTTAAATGGAACAAATATATATATACATATATATATATGTATATATATATACATATATATATATGAAAATTGGTCTTTAAGTAAGAAAATAGCTCTAATTTCTAATTGAGTCATTGAATTAAAGCATACCATTACAAAGCCAAGAAATAATTAAACAATGTTTTTGAGAGTTGCTAATGTAACAGCAATATATTACATTTTTCTTAAAGCCCCTAAAACAGTATTTAGCAAATAAGTATTTATTTTGGAATAGTGGTAACACAATCAAGTATACATTGGGCAAACAGCTATGTTTAGGTATATAAGTTATAGAAAATACTCATACACTCACTTCACTTTGAACTCTATAGGAAAGGCAATGCTTAGAAAATGCAAAAGGGAAACAATTACTATAGCTATTGTTTTCCACATCGAAGACATTACATGGTTATATTTTTTAAACCAAACTGTATATGGATAACTTTTTAATTTTTTTCTAGCAAAAGTTTGATATACTCCTAAAATAAAGTTGCATATGATTTACAAATATATCTTCATTCATATGTGTTCTTTGGTCTTTTATTGATATTTAGTAAAACATAAGAATTTGAAACTTAACACTGAAGAGCAGTTCAATCTTAAAATGAAAGGTGCTTTAACATGAACTCCTTTCATCTCATGAAATACTTGTTTCATTTCATGCATAAGTGTGTGGACTTCTGTTCTTGATTCTTGAATTGGAATTTTAACAAAATTTGTTTTTTTTTTAACTTTAATGTTTATTTACTTTTGAAAGAGACAGAGTACAAGTGGGTAAGGGGCAGAGAAAGAGGAAGACATGGGATCTGAAGCAGGCTCCAGGCTCTGAGCTGTCAGCACAGAGCCCAATGCAGGGCTTAAACCCATGAACCATGAGAACATGACCAGAGCTGAAGTCGGACACTTAACCAACTGAGCCACACAGGCACCCCAGAATTTTAACAAAATTTAAACGTGTCTTGCCATTTGGAAATACATGGATGGAACTGGAGGGTATCATGCTAAGTGAAATTAGTCAGAGAAAGACAAATATCATATGACTTCATTCATATGAGGAATTTAAGATACAAAACAGATGAATATAAGGGAAGGGAAGCAAAAATAATATAAAAACAAGGAGGGGGACAAAACATAAAAGACTCTTAAATATAGGGAACAGAGGGTTGCTGGAGGGATTGTGGGTGGGGGGATGGTCTTGGGTAAGGGACATTAAGGAATCTGCTCCTGAAATTATTGTTGCACCATATGCTAACTAACTTGGATGTGAATTAAACAATAAAATATATGTGTCTTTTACAGTGTGGAAGCTGAGGAATGGAACAAGATGGCGGCATGAGCAGAGACTTCTAAGGTAGGCCTCCCTTACCACCTCAGCTCAGCCTGAATATTGACGTTCTCTTAGATCAGCTCAGGGCAGGATCTGGTCAAAATCCTTATTTGTCCCAGTCATTCATCCAATAAATAAATGTATATTCTTATCAACCAACTGTAATGGAAATGAGCTATCAGAACAATTACAAGTTTTATAAAGTTTTATTGGAATGCCTAGAAATGTACAACTGAACTTGTTTAGAAGTGCTGCTAATGGTGCATCAAGGTCAACATGGCTCTTATCTTTTAGTTGGGACACACAACAGATGGTATCATGAACAGGAAAAAGATGCCCACGCTAGAGGTATGATGGTGATTATCCAGCACTCATGGAAGTTAAACAAGCACAGGAAAAAATCAGGGATTTGTGAGATTCCCTAAGGCATAAAGCAATATACTTCTGTCCAAGAAGAATCCACTGCTGTTGGGTTTGGTCTGGACTTAGGTCTTCTCTACCCAGATTAGGGATAGGGGCAATTTGAATGGAGGCAACTCAGTTCTGATAGGAAAACAATGAAGCACTTTAGAGAATTCCTCTCTCAGTTTGTCCTGCTAGATACATGGTGCTTCATCTTTGAGTTTACAAGCTTCTGTGTAGGAAAGAGAGAAGGCAACATGTCATAAATATGACCGGAAGAATTGGTACATAATGTTGTCCCACATATTCAGAAATGGAATCCAGACTCTAATTTCAGTGATGATCATGGCATTCCTGTAAAATTTTATAGCTCATTTTTATGTACCTACATAGACTTAAGTGACAAGTATTTGTCTCAGGTTTATGATATACACTGAATGACTATCAAGTTAAAAAGGACATCAACTTTAAAACTTCCTTTCATAGCTTATTGAGAGAACTATTTTCTTACATAATCACAGAGAAGGAAACCATTTGTAGTTTGACTAATTGGAACAGTAATCTATCCTTTTCAGAAAATGTTTTTGTCAGATGTACCTTAAAATACCTAGTCCTCTCCCCCTAATTCCTAGAACACGCAACAGGTTTCATTTGATTCTTCTGAATAAGAGCCTGATTATAAAAACTATATATTGGTCATTTTTTTTAATAAAGAGCAAATCCATTGTAATATTTACTGATATTTGGACAGATTTATTCATGTAAACAAATGATTTCAAACTCATAGAGACTTAAAAGTGGAAAGATTATTTCTGGATTACAGTACATGTCCTTTCCAGATCAGTGCAGGGAGGAGAGAGCTCTCCTTCACGTCCTTACTAAAGGGGCAAGCTGATGGAACAGCCATTATTTGAACACTGTCTTTCACTGTGGTAGGAGGAGGGCTTGGAATGATGAAAGCTAATATTTTACTGGCCAAAGCAACTCATAGAGCCATGCCTAATTGCAGTGAGGGGGGAAAGCACAATCCAACCTACCAAAACCATGGTTTTTGTAAAAGCCCCAATGACTATCTCAGGGACAGCTTGGCAAAATCACTCAGATAATGCCTAGCTCTGACCTAGCAATTCCATTTCTAGTAATTCATACTATGGCACAAGCATGTTCATTTCTGTGCTCTTTGTAATAGCAAAAAGTAAAATCCTCAGGAAAGGTTTTTGATTAAATAAATCATGTTAAATTCATTCAATGGTATAACTTATAGCCTGTGAAAAATGAGTGGGGTGTATTTGAATTAACATGGAAATCTATTCTAAAGGAATATTGTTAATACAGTGTATGTGCATGTGATGGTGGTGGGGGGGGGATGTGTGTGCATGCATTTGTGAGCTGATACATGCAAAGCACTTAGAACAGTGCTTGACACAAGTAATTGTAGCTAATACTGACATGCAATTTATTAATTGTGACGCACTCTTCTACCTGTTGTACATCTCTTAAGTCATTAGATAACAACAGTCATTTGAAATGATTTTATTATTCTCAATTCCCAAATGAGGAAACTTACAAAGAGTATCTGTTTGAACAATTTCTAGAATGATGTTTTAGAAACTGTAATGAGTATGGGCAGTGGTTCTAAGAGATGGAGTGTTTTTTGTTTTTGTTTTTGTTTTTGTTTTAATTCACTGTATTGCTTTCTGTTGCTCTTAGAATTTTCGCCATGAGAACATGTTACTTTTGTAGTTAAACTCTGGTAATAAGAATAGATGCCCTGACAATGAACCAAGAGGAGCTCATTCCTGCTAAATGTATTTATACCTCTGCACCCTGATGAAGGTGAATTTTTTTCTATGCAGGGAGAATACTTACGACAGAAGCCTCAACTCCAATGATTCCCTTTGTCATAATTAAGCGAAGACTGAGCTGGTTATTCTTGGTACCATGTTAGGTATTTGAGTGTAATGATCTGCAGTAGGTTTGATTTTTGTCCCATACTTTCTCCTCTTTCTGGATTCTGCATTGCAGTACTGTTGCCATAAGTCTTGGCTAAGTGGACTGGCTTTGGAAGTGGTTTGTACTGTCTTGAAGCAGAGTACCGAAGAGTCACTGTGAGGCTGTCCTCCTGCTCTTTTCTCTCTGCAGGGGGAAGGGTAATATCCAGACAGGGGTTGCTTTATCCTGAATCTTAGAGGGAAGAGAACATAAAAAACAGCTTTAGAACATGTAACATGAGTGAGAAATTAGAAATGAACTTTGTTGTGTCAAGCCATTGGGACACAATCATTTGCTGCTGTCGCATAAACCAGTACAATTTAATACAGGACTTCAGAGAAATTAAGAAAGCCGAATTGGAGAAAATATGCTTTTAGCAATCCTCGGGAGTGGGGACTCTGGGACCTATCAGCCTTTTGTGCTTTTTATTGTTTTTTATCTCTCTCTCTGTGTGTGTGTGTGTGTGTGTGTGTGTGTGTGTGTGTGTGTGTGTTAGTGTTATAGTATTAGCTCTTGGAACTGCTTTACCTGAAGTTCTCTACAGCTTGTTCTCCTGGAAGAAGAAAAATGTGTATTGTTCCACTGCTTTCCTCTTGGCAGGCTAGGACTGGAAGACTTGTTACACGATTTCAATCTGATCTTTATTTCTGTTTGTAAAAGATTGACTTGTTCTGCAGATCCTGTCAGTTGAAGAAGTGCCAATATTACAGAGTGTAAAAAATTGTGTTTCCTTTGCCACAATTCATTTCTCTATAGAGTTTCTCACTTAATTGCAAAATGTTGGAATCATTTTCATTTTCAGGTTTTTTTATTATCTAAATTAAGACATGATAGAATTATATATTTTTTTCTCTAGGTCTTTGATGTATTTCATTTGACATGAAATGCCTAATTCTTGGTCTTGACACTGAAGGGTCAGTGACCTGCTATAGTGATCAAGTTGTTAAGTGCTATAAGTTAATTTCCCTATCAAGCATAATTGCCAACTAATATAAAAATTATGTTTCCAAGAATTTTAAAGATATGGTTCTACTTTTACTCATTTAAAGAAAAAAAAAAGTTTTGATTTTCTTCTAATGGAGCCAAATTGATTGCTTACATCTTACCAAAATAAAGAGAATAGCATATTTTATATCTCTTTTCCAAGGGTATAAATGTCATCAGTTTTTTTAGCTAAAGAGAAATACACTGATTCTTTTAGTGTGTTTATTTCTGTAAGTTCTACTGCCCAGTGGAGACTGTTAGAAACCTCCCAGGGATACTTGGCATTGGGAGGTTTGCCATGATCCATAGTCAGTCTGTACACAAGCAGCATTTCAGGACTGTTGACCAAGATGAGTGAGGCATCTCTGCCCCAGTATTAAAACAATATCAAAGATATCTCGAGAAAAGATCCTTTTTTGCAATCAGCAGTATGCTGTCCCTCTTCTGTACAACCTGGTTAAAGGACTGCCCCGCTTTGTTCCGCTTTATGTACAGGATTGAAGCCTTCTGTGGCATTCATTTAGACCAATCCTTTATCCTGATTTCCAAATGTGGCCTCAGAAGGAGGACTGATTGAGAATACCATGTGATTTGTGCTATGCTCTACAAGGTCTAGAAAGTATTCTAATGATGACCACACATAAACCTGTTTTGGAGGAATTTAGGAGACTTCAAGGATAGTTCCCCCCCCACCCCCACCTCCCTTTTGCCTTCCAAAGCCATGAGGAAATTTTCTGATAGTATTTTAGATATAATTATTCTTCAAGACTTAGAGAACCTAGGGCTTTTCAAAGATGATAGGGAACTACAAAGTCTGTAAGAACGGTCTTTTTTTTTTTTTAATGATTTATGCCACAACCTCAATTTCAATTTAAACTATGTATATTTTTAGTTACTACTAAAAATATTCCATAGAGGAAAAATAAGTCCTCTGGTGGTTAACATATAAAATGAATTATTCTATCAGCATTTGAGAAGTGTTTTTTTAAGGAAATGGATCTGAGAGAACAGCAAGTTCCAAACATGAAAATACATGTTGACTTAACACAGTTTTATTCTCAATGATTAGGATTTTCGTTATAAGGAATGGGGCGTTGGGTTATGAGTCAGGTTTGTTATTGGTGAATGAGATTCTGAATGTGGTACTCCTGGGTAACTTTTTTGTATTTTATCTTATAAACATTATTTTAATACATACAGTATACTTGCATAAGAATTGGTCAACTACTGATAATTGTAATTATTACATTTATTGGTAATATGTTTAATGCTAGATAGATTACACACCAAAGATACAGGGACAAGCTTGAATGATGTGGTGTCTTAAGGGATTGCTTAGGGGGAAACCTGAGTCTTAGGGGGAAACCTGAGGAGAAGGAATGTAGTTGCTGGGAAAGCAGTTAGAATCTCTTATTCTGATGCAGATTTTCCTAGAAGACTGTATAAAGGCAGGAAGAAGAGGTGCTAATATAAGGAGTACTAATAAAATCCTGAAATATTCAATTGGATTTTCACATGTTACTGAGTGTTTTGGGGCATGTAACGAGCAGGCTCTCTTCTGGCCTCCAATAATATCCACCTCCTGGTATTCACACCCTTGTGTAATCATCTTTCTTCAACTGTATACTGGCCCAGTGATTTGCTTC